TTTTAAATAAACAATAAGCTATTGTTTAGGCTAAATAATTTAATTTCAAAAAATAAAAAGAGCACTTTGAGCTCAAATCAACTGTTCGTTATCAAGCGACGCTTGACAAGCGTTTAATATATTGTTTGATATCTCATAATAATAATATTTATATATATTTTTTGCATTTAGTTATTATTGCACAAATTAAATCAAATAAATTATGTGGAAAATTAAATATTCCCTTAAGGTTGTAATTTGTAAACACTTTCCTCTCTGTCTTCTTCCAAATGTTTAATTCTTTTATAAACCGAAAAGAATAAATAATAATAATTAATTGTCAGAATAATATTCATGTTTAAAAGATAAGATAAATTCTAATTAATTGCTTGAATAAAATATCTCTCATTTAAAAAACAAAATAAATAATTCGTCATAAAATCTTAATATTGATTCTCATGTTCATTTCATTAATTAACAAAGCATTAGATTACCTGGTACTATCTATGTCCTTTCTAGGAACCAGTTCACCACTCGGCTCCCTCCTGAGATGGAACACATTCTTAGAGGACTTTTCCGAGACGGTTTCCGCCCCACTTGTCACAAGCAGCGTGTCCTCCACCAATACGTCTACGTCCATCTCTTGGCCCCTTGTCAGGTCCGCCAAGGCTTCCGAGTACATGCAAACATCCGAGGAAGGACACTGCAAGTTTGCAAGCACCGGGCATTCTCGGAACTGCAGATTTAATTAAAATTATATATATTTTAAATTTATATTATTTTAATATTTTTTTATTTCAATAATTTATTATAATTATTTTTAATTATTATTATTTTTAATTTCAATTTCACCGAAATCTGAGGGTGGCCGCTGAAATTGTCCACTTCGATCGTCCGGCTCTGAGACGGTCCAAAACGGACCTGCAAGGGCTGCCCATTGGAATGGTAGGGACACCCGCGGCTGACACTTTGCCTGCCTTCGAGGTTGCCGACCTTATTGGAGTAATCATAAGGACAGTGGTGGTCGGGCTGTCCTTGCGAATGGTCCTGAAGGGCTGGAAATTCCGCATTCGCACTGCTGGGGGTGGCGATCAGCGTTGTGCAAACCAGCGTCTCCAGGTCGCGGATGACCTCCTGCAGGCTCGAAAGGCTTTCGGCGACCTCGCGGGCGCCGCTCGAGCTGGAAGAACTGCTTTCGTTGGTCGACATTTTTCGTTTTGGGATTTTGTACAGAAGAATTTGAAACGGTTGCGGCCAAAACAATGTAACGATTTTGAGTGCGAATTTGATTGTTGAAATTCGTTCTTGATTGTTGAGAAGCTCAAAATGGATGAAACAATTTCTTGAACAGACATTGTTGCTCAAGATTAAAATAAAATTCTTGATTTTTTGAGTAGCTGAAAATATATGACGGAATTTCTTTATTACTGTAGATAATGTTGCTCTAATAAATAAATAAAAAAACATCGACCTGATCAACCAAGTTTTCTTCTCACTTGTTTCAAAACATTTTATAATATTAATATTCCAAAAATTTACATGTTGAATAAGATTGTCATTATTATTTTTGAAGGAAATTAATTATAAAAGAGAGAACTCATTATAAATTTGTTTACTTTAAATTTATCGCAAGCAATGAAATCTAAACAAGTTCAAATCCTTAAGAAACCAGCGACGTGTAGCCCAGTTTTAAATTTTCATGTCACAAAAATTATTGAAATAATGACATCAATTCAAAATTTACTGTAAATATCACCAATGTCACTTTTTCGTGAAGGTTCATTAAAAAAATGTAAGGCTTACTTTATAGATCCTTAAAAAAACAGTTTTCCTTATCACATTAAAGAAATAAATAAACCTCCTTATGATTTTTTTTTTAAATTTTTACTATTATTCCTGTTCAGTATTAACAGCAGCGCATTAAAAAATTTAAAATAGATGAAACACGATTATATCATTATTAATTTTTTCAGTCTCATTTGGGATACTGGACACGGCAGTCAAAATAGAAATCACGACAGCAAAACATCTGCATCATTTGGGATACCGGAATCCGCTCTATAGATGACAGTCCTACAGATTTGTTAAAATTCACGATTACCGAAAACAAAAATTTATTTTGTACAAGGTGAGGGAATCCGTGACCAGCGAATTAATACGTCTCAATTTAAATTGCGGCCTTTTTCACCGCTCGTTTTTTAAGGCATTCATTGTGAAACAATCCCTTGATAGATTTCCCAAATCTCTCGTTACAAAAATCAGAAAAAGCTGACGCAGCCCGCAGCCCTCAATTTCAATCTTTCCTCCACTTCCTCGACAAATAATTTACAATTTACCAGTAGATTATTCAATCTCGAGCATTTTTACTTTTCACTTTTACTTACAATGGAAAGTCGTCATCTTTGCTCAGAAATTTCCTTCTTGACTCAATCTCGTAAGACAGAATCGGCGCGATTTTCAATTCATTTTATTCTCTCGCAACAAGTCATACGGAATGTTGCGAAGTTGAACAATTTTAGTCGGGTATCAATGGACAGCATACTAAATTAAAGTACGTTGCCAACATTGCAATTTTCTTTCTTCTTATATAATGTGTTTTCTAATTGTATCACCAGATGATTGAAAGGTAACAATCCCACAAAATTAAAGCTATTTACAATTTTCTTTTGCCGTCAATAAGGAGCTCGCCGGTCTTTTCTTTAAATTATACAATTCAGGCCGAAATGGCCTGCTTGATAATATTTTAATGACAACAGGCCGCGTAAGAAATGAGCGTCAAGCCGCCCACGAAGCGTTTAAAGCCTCGCAATATCTTAATTAGAGATGATAGAGATATGGGGTGACAAGACGGATTCCGGCGTTTTGTGAGATTTTCTCCGACTTGCCCACTCCGTCATTGATCACAACGTTAATTTACTTTCAGGAGCTCGGCAGTGAAAAAGGAGCTCTTGCTCGGGAAAGATTGCCACCAGATTTTCGATTAGCTGGACATAATAATTAATTTTTATCATTAAAAAAAATAATTATGTTGTGTTCAAGAAATGGAAATTTGAATATGGCAAATGCAATGAAATCAGTAAGTAAAAAAATCAGCGTGGCTAAAAGGAAAAAGCTGAATTTGGTGGAATCAGGTAATAATTACATTATACAAATTATTATTGAAAAAAAATTAAATCATTTTGAAAATTATAAACATTTCAGGCTAAAAAGTAAAGAGGTTTTAAGACTTTCTTACTCAAAGCTGCGAATATTTTAAATAAAATTCAATATGAAAGTCACTTTGTATTGAAAAATCATTCTTGAAACCAGTTTCATAAAATGAATAAAAGAATGGAGACCACAATTTCTATCTTATTATCATGTTTATTGTACGAGACGAAGCTCAAATTTTCCCGAAAATTTTTTGCCATATTTGGAAGATCGAAGTCCGCAATCAGCCCCTGACAAAGTCAAATCCACCCTATGATTTATTCATAAAATTTATTTTGTGATTTCAAATCAAGTCAAATGGAGCAGCACATCTGATAATGAGGAGAAAAAGTGGCGACGCCATACTTTAATTAAATGAGCGTTGGGCGGCGGCGAGAGCGCGGGGCATTAGCGCGTGAGTTATGGGCTAATAAAACATTTTATTCCTTGTAAAAAGCGGCGGCCTGGCGGGCGGCATTAATTTTGGTTTGGCCTCGAACCAAGGACCCGGGCCCGGGTGACCCGTTCTCCGGCGGCGATTGGTGCTCGCGAGCACTCCCAGGCGCGGTGTCATTGGCTCTCTGTCAATTCGGCGCCGCTCTTTTCAGCTAATAAAATGCAAATCAATGCCTCGCTCTGCCTGCCGTGTTTGCACACGCCAAGTACATGTGACGTCAACTGCACGAAAACACGAATTGCGAACCTCCAAGGCATATCCCGAGCTTTTTCCAGCTACACCCTTTGTTTTAATTAATTTCGTCCCTGCCCGTCTAATCATGCTCTCACGTGAGCCACCCCCGAGTCACGTGACGCGCGGATATGCAGCTCGGGCAGCATCCGAAATTGGTGCTGCCGCCGAAATTATACACACAGCGCACCCGTCCGGTTTAATTTACGACTCTTTTCCCTGAAATTGCTCGGCGCTAATTGAAAACTGCGTCTCTTCACGTTTTCGTGTTTGCAAAAGAGAGGAATTCGCAATTTTAATTTTTCCAAATGCTCCTGCTGCTGCAATGACAGAAATTGGAAAAATAAAATTCGCGTTCTCTGATCGATCATCCGTCTCTTGTAATCAAAATTTCTCTGCAATTAATAAATTTTGGCAAAAAAATTCATCCAGTTTCTGGACGAGACCGAAACCAAGCAAATCCTTTATATTGCTTCCACTAGTATTTATTTTTCCCTCAATAAAATATTAATTTTTTGGATGAAAACAAAAAATACAGAAAATACAATATGAGTGAAGCAGAGATTGTAAAAAAAAATTGTTTCATTTTCTCGTTCTGTGGTTGATCTGTTTAACCACAATTAATTCAAAATTGACTTAAGTAATTTCAGTGACGATGGAATGCAATCAGCAATTGATCTCGCGAGTAATTGATACGGTGGAGTGCACGCGGAAGTGGAGGGATCGCATTCATGCGTGCGTCGTGCGTGTCTGGCCTATGCATAATGATCTCCCTAATGTGCGAGTGCGCTATTGTGTGCGACTAGAGCACAATGATGAAATAGTGCGTGCCGGTGGATCAAGGGGCTGCTCTAGCTACACACGCACGCACTTCTAAATAGGCCGCCGAACCTGTTCTGCCCCGGTCGGCGGCATTCAACCCCACGTCAGGTGCCAAACCATCAGAAAAAAAATGCGCGCGGCTCTCATTTTTGGTCTGTTTCTATTTTTCTTGCGTTTCAATTTACAACAAAATTATAATTTTCAAATCGAAATCGCAACGCAAATTTTACAGGGTCTACAAGTGCCTCTCAAAATGTAACGCAACTCATTACGATAATTCTATTCATGCAGAATAAAAGTGGGAAAAGAAAATTTGTCCTACCTTCATTTCCGTCTTTTTGAAGCGCTTCAGATGGCGATGTAATCCCCTGGAATCAGAATAAAAGAAAATTAGATGTTATCAACGTAAATGTTGCAATTTTTCATTTTTTGACCAAAAATTTTTTCAATGGCGCAATTGGAAAAAAAATATATGATCAGCTGCAAATATCTGAAAAAGGGGACATTAATATTATTTCAAATAAAATTTATCAACGCTCACCTGTAAAAAATCTTAAATATAAGTTTTTAATACTTGTTAACTATATTTTTTTTTTAATTGGCTCAATAAATATTTTCCTGAGTAACTAATAATCTTGGTGGTTTAGGATTTATTTTTTAATTTTGTTAGAACTACATATTTGGTATTAATTTGGAACTGTCATAATTTATTTATCTTAATAAGGATGGATTTTGTTCAATACCTATATAATAATTATCACGAATATTTAGTGCACGAACCATTTTTAAATTTTATGTTATGTTCTTTAATTATGTTGAGCATCCTAGTTTCATTTTACTGTTTTCAGTTATCGACTTGGACGGGTGATTTTCACTCAACAAGCAATTTAAAAAGTTTCAAGCGTAACCACAAAACGAATGTTTCCAGAAAGTTCAATATTGCCATACTAAAATTACGCATTATAATTTTTTTTACATATATAAAAACCATTGAACTTATTTAACGGTATTTCCAATACAAGTTCAAAAGAAATCATGCGTTAAATGTGATAAAACTGCAATAAAAACAAGTGTTGTGTTCTAGATTCAATTCAATTCGTTTATTCTCTCACAACAAATTAAAAACCATATAAAAATCGCCCAACAAATTTGTGAAACAAAACTAGGAAACAATAAATTGCGTCCAGATTTCACGAAAAGATCTGACTTCATCTGAAAACCGCAATAATTAAAGAATGAGAGAGTCGATGCAAACTTTTGGGACGGGCTGGAAAGGGACTCGTGACTTAGCTTTAGTTGTTTATCTAAAACAATTCCCTGATTATGACCAGGAAAACGTTTTTATCAAATGCGTACCAGCAATAGCCCTTATCAATATGAAAAAATGACGAGAGTTTACAGTGTGGAAAGCAGTCAAAATGCCAAAATTTCGTGTTTATTTATTTTTATTGCCCGTAACATAAAACATTAAGAAGGATGAAATTTGACGAAAATGTCTCTTCATTAAATTTTACATGTTTTTACAAAATTGTGTTTCAAAGGCTCGCAAAGATTAAGAATATATTATATTATATAAAAGATTATTAAAGCGTTTGCATAAAATAAGCAATTTTATTAACAAGTCATAATCATAATTAAGTAATTACACTATCATAAAATGTAAAGTGAAAGTCAAACTTGTATATAATAAAGAAATTATTTTTCATTGAAAAGATCAAACAAATTTTTAAAACAAGCACAAGCCTTTTTTTCCTCGATTGCTTACTTCTTCACTTGAACAATTAGTATCTATAATAAAAAAATAAAAAATGATATTTGAATTATTTTTATACACATTTTCAAACAAGCAAGAGATTGTAAGGTTCGCCAGGTTTTGTTAATAATTTTAAGGATATTTTAAATCAGATTATTCCTCATTCTATGCACAATGTTTTGTCGAAATATTGAAATATTAAATTTGAAATCTTTGTGATCCACCTATTCTTGCCCTCCGTTTGAATTCGCTTGGATCTTCCGCAGAAAACAATACAAGTAAATTGCGATGGTAATGATAGTAACAAGAATTACTGCTGAGCAGCATCCAATGACGACAAAATGGTTCAAGTGGAATTCTAAACAAAAAGAGAAAAATTTAATTAATTGCCCAATTTTTTTAATTTATAATACAAGGAGGAAAAATAATTTAAAATTATTTTGGTCAAAAATAATAAAAGCACATCTGCTTTTTTTACAATTTACAAGCAAAAATGGATTGATGCTGACTGAGTAATAATACCGATGTTGAGTACACAAATTATTTGTAAAAATTACGTTAATATACCGTGAAAAAAATTTGCAGTTAAATTAAAAATACTCACCATCAACTTCCGAATTTGAGGAATCCTCATTGACTGGTTCATGCCTGCACCAGTTATTTTTATTTTCTTTGCATCTTTCAAAATGTAAAGTACGATTTTGTTTGCATTTGCAAGTGTATTTGTTTGTTGGTGCATCACTCACATTGCAATATTCAAAATCTAATTGTGGCAAAAGGCAATGATAGCAATGGTCTTGAAAACAATTATCTGCAATAAGGAAAATTATAATTCGAGTAATTGTTGGCCAAGATTATTTACCAGCAAAAAAGTTATAGTTGTTTGCGTCAGGCTTCAAGTCCCAATGTGTTTTGTTTGTTACACAACTTTTTTTATTTCTTGCTTTGCAAAAGATCTCATCACAGGTCAACTGTGTTTCATTTTTCTTATTGAAATTGTCAAGAAGAATTATCAATTTATATGTGGTGCAAACTGCAAGATAATTATTTACTGAAAAAAAACCTGCGAATTTTAATGAAACTCGACTAAAACTTACTTTTTGTTTGGTTTCCTTGAGCCAAAGATTGAATGGAAACAAAAATTAAGGTGAGAAAAACAGAAGAAAAGTATTTTAGTATGACTGGAAATCTCGTCATGATTTTTTTCTTTAATTTTGTTGGAGATGTGTGTGATTCAAATTGATTGTAAGACATGAAGTTAAATGTAGACCAACAAACAGTCCTTTGAAGCAGGATGTAAAGCTGGCCGATAACAGAAGGACCTTTTTTGTATTTTTTATTTTAAATCTTCAGCAAAAAACTGACGTTTATCAAAAGGAAGTAAAACATATCAAATCGAACGTTATCAGAATCCAAGAAAACCCAGCCAACTAATTAAAAAATACTTATTATTAAGAGAATTTTTGTTCATATATTTCTATCTATAACACTATTTTGAGGAAGTCTGCAGCAAAATAACAAAAAAATTCAGCCTGTTAAAAAATATATTTAATACGTTTTATCAACTTTTTTTGCTCCATTTCCAAAAAATTTAAATTTTGCAGCAATTGCAAAACATATATCTTTATAAAAAAATTAATTATAGAAAACATGAAGTCAAAGTTCTATTATTTTAAATTGCTTTTAATTTCACTGAAATATAAAATTTAGGAAAGTGCGCCAAATAAAATGGTTTTTCTTCTCAACACGGTTTCAGCGAAGTTGTAGGAAAAGGCGGGTAGCAACAAAATTTTAATTTGGACGTGCACATAAATTGCTGGTCCGCACAACACTCGAATGCATTTATTTGACGGAGATAAAAAAAAAGAGTTGCGAGCGGGGGCCGGGCTTGGACGGTGTTTTGCGCCATACATTATCTTTTTTCATTTCATCTTTGTCATACACGCGATGTCAGTTCTAATGAATGTAGCGACCGTGTTTTATAGGCAGAAATGCACGAATTATTATTAGAATTACTGTGCACGTATGTGCGTGTGTTGGCCCGTCCGTCCGTCCGTCCGAGCGAGCGAGCGTTCGGGTACGCGAGCACAATTCGTGAATAAGAACAATGGCGAAAATAATGAAAAAGCAGCACCGGCCGCGCTTTTGCACGGCCTCTGGTCGGTGCCGGGGCTGAAATATTAACAAGGAGCCGCGTGCAAAATAATACCGAGTTTCGGCTTCTCTTTCATTGGACCAGGTGCGCACCTGCCTGTTAATAATTCGCCCACCTATAAGTTGCTCGTCCATTAATCACCGGCGCCCGCCAGATCATCCCGCTCGGCCCTGACACGCCAGGCACAATATTTTGACATCCAATTGACAATCGTCGCCGCCAACCATCTAACTGATGAATATGTTTCCATAAAACGGTATCTTGATTTTGTCAATTCTTTCTACACGCACTTTTCATCCAAAATTTATGTGATTATACACAAACTTGAGTAAAGAAACAATAACCTACAACTAAAAGGTAAATTTCAATGATTATAATTGTATTTACTCTCAAAATATAATCAGTTTGGAGTACCTGGAAAAATTTCTCTTAGATTTTTTTCAATATTTTATACGTTTATTTCAAAATTTATTGTATCAATGCGAGACTGGCACTTCCCGTGTGGGCGGCCAAATCGCTTTTCTTGTTAGGCGTTTTAAAAAACATTGTAAACCTTTCCTTTTCTTATTCCCGATTTTTAAATATTTTCATCTTTGCTGAGAAGAATAAATAACAATGATTAGCTTTAAAAAGATCTACGCTCAAGGTGAATAATAATAATAACATAAACTAAGAAAAGTCTAGGAGGCGTTCATAAGTGGTTTTTTGTTGAAAAAAATTTGCATGCGCAAGAAATATGCAAATTGAACGTCAAAATAATTTTAAAATCTATTTTTTCTCAATAAAAGTTCAAATTCATGCAACTAATATTGTGTGCTAACATTTTCTTGTAGAACGTTAACAAAATTGGGATAGCAGTTTTTATTTTAGTAAAAAACAATTTTGGTCAAAGAGGAAAAAGCCCGTTTTCTTCATTACAAAAATAATAATAACTCAATTTTTCCCTCTGTATTAAATGCAAATAATTGGAGTCAGCTTATGAAATTTATTAACCACTTTGCACACAATCATAAACTGACTGTTTCAAAATATATTAAAAATATATTTTTATAACATGGCCAAAACTTATTGTTAGTAACTTAAGTGAAGAAAAATATTTTTAGTATTAATATCTTTTTTTTTTTTTTTTGCAACTTCACATAAATAAATTAATTGTTTACCTTCACTTATTGGTGCAAATTTTGTTTAAAAACTGAAAGGAAATTGTTTGATAAATCGGCACCATTGCCATAAATGCTCTAGCAAGAATTTGGCCAAAAATAAATACCCCATTCGCCGCAGTTGATTTACTTCGTTTGTTTTTTTATTCTTGTCTAAACAAAATTTTATGTTGATATTTATTATATGAAAAAAAAAATGTATTTTCTTGGACGCCTAAACTATAATTTAATACGCGCAGACTGTCTAAAGACGATTCATTTCTGGGAAACCAAAATTCGATGAGCGAGTTTTCACGCCGATCAGTTCACCAAAAATTGTGATTGTTTGGAAGAGACCGCATTATTTGCTTCTCAGTTGAGAGGTAAGTATAGGTCGAGGCACACGTTGGAAATGGCTCGCTGATGGGCTTTCAATAAGCAAAATGATCCTTATAGTCAAGTTCAGTGGGTCGCCGTGTGTCTTGATTCTCAAGTTTTAAATGGATTTTTTTTTTTTTGAATCAGAATTCCCTGTTTTGGGGAGAATAAAAATAAGATTTCCAAATTATAGTTGAAATTTTTACATTTATAATTGTTTTCCTGGAAGCGGCTCTTTCCTCAGTTTCTAAATCCACGTTAAATTTCATTTGGTAAAATGAGTAAATTTTTTCACACATTAATAACAAAAAAATTTATTCAATTCATTCATAATTCTCTCACAACAAGTCGTACAAGAAATTGAAAATCACATTGGGGGAGAATTGGCAGCCAGCTCTAGTAAACAACTTATTAAAACTCGTAGGACCAATTTGGAGAAATATTTCAAAATTTAACCTACTCGCTGAGTACGAGCCACAAGAGGAAAAATATACACAACTTTTATATCTTCTAAACATGCAATTTACTTGCACTAACCTGATTTTCACGCTCCGGAGAAAGTTAAAAAATTTTCAAGTAAATACATTTTCTTGCTGTCAAAAAAAAATGAAAGTAGAAAATTTGACTGATAGACCATATTTATTATGGCAGAGATTACTGCTGCCGAGCTTTGATGGCTGGTTTAGAAAAAAACCCACTATCAAGTCTCATGTCTGCTTAAAATTAATATTTTTAGACTGATTTTAGAATTTGGTATAGAATAAAATTTATTAAAATTTGGAGCAGGCAACAATAAAAAGTCTGTGGGAATTTACGGCAATTTTTTTCTTAAGTAATTAGAATATTTTCTCAAAAATAATTGATAAAAAAAATATCTTGTAGAAAAACTGTTTATCTCTTAGTTTAAATTTTTTAGTTCGTAATTAATTTAGATTGTCCTCGGTTGGATCGATAAGCAAACTTTGAAACTAAATCTAAATGCCCATAATAAAGAAATGTGCAAAAAACCGATATAGATTGAAATTGGGTTTGAAGAATCCACTTCAGAGAGTCAAATCGCATAGAGAGTTAACAAAATAAATGTGAATCAGAATTGACGTGGTCAAGAGTGAACAACTTTTCCCCCCAAAAATTAAAGAAAAACATGGGTGATGCCTTCTGCATCACCAAAGGGCAAAGGCCGTCAAGACGGTCGCTTAGCCTTATCCTAAAAAGAAAAAAAATATTAATAAGATTATAAATTTCTTGCAGTGAAACAAAATTGGGATACATTATAATTAATTTTAGCGCGGGGGACTGATCTGGTGTGAATATAGCAGTAATATCACGTCGTAGATGAAATAAATATCAATTTAATTTTAATTTAGATTTGATTTTACTTCTTTCAATATTTAATGTATAATTTATGTAAAAGAATGTCTTCAAATTTCAAGAGCCCGCGGATGGATGGAGATTCAATAAAAATATTATGTACTACGAGGAAGAAATACCTATTTTTATATCTTTTGATACAAAATTGTTACTTTATGTGTAATAGAAACATTAAAGGATTAATTCTATTACATTTTTAATTCAGTATTCGCAAAAAAATGTATAATTTGCTGCACAAAACTCGTGAGCTTGGCCAGAATATATTTATATATTGCCTTAGAGAGAAAGTGGACTGGTGCGAGACTGCATTCCTGTTCCCAAATATATTTCTGGCGTCTGTCCTTTTGATGGTGCACCAGAAGTGGTGGATCAAAACGTGAACAAGCAAACCGTCTGAAATTCAGAGACATCGCAGTTTTGCTTTTGGTTCACAATTTGGTCTAGGTAAGTCGTTTACTAGAACTGGCTGCTGATTCTCTCCAAATAATGTGATTTTTACGCTGCTTTTGTTTTGACTTGTTGCGAGCAGTTGATTTAATGATATGGAAATGACGTCTCAAGAAAATTGATTTGCATACCAAATATAGTCAATTGCTGATACAATAAGATGGACATAAAATATTGTATGAACGTTTTATATAAATTATCAATTTAATTTTAGGGAAAAATATGCTCTAAATATAAATTCATCTGCTACTGAACGTCCCTCATGGAAACCTTAATTGGATTTATTAATAGTTAGTTCAAGAATTAATGGCTACTATTATCTTGACTTAGTTCTTCCAGAATAAAACCTAGCGATAAAGTTCATCGCAATGACCCGGGATAAATATTTTTACCCCTCCTGCAATTTTATTTTATCGCCAAATCATTCAGGAAAACTTTTTCTTGACACGCGTCAACGGGATAAACATTCAGCCCGCGCTATATTCATATCAGCTGAAAAGATGGTCAAAATTATTCTGAAAGTTTTTTAATTTTAGCCTATAGCAACGAACAAAATTTGTTCAGATCAAATCGTGAAAAAGAGGGAAAATTGAATTCCAAAGCTAACTCAAAAGTCTGTGTTTTATGTCACTTAAAACTATTTAAGACCTTTTAATCAAAACCACTCATGTTAGATAAATCACTTTTCTTTACAATTCTAAAATTATAGTGTGAAATATTCTGATTC